CACCAACAACTTCACATCAGTTTTCACTCACTACATTGTGAATATACTTACAAGCTATTGCTTGTTCCTCTTACTTTGCCAGCACCTATCAGTTAATCTGATTCATGGAGGGGTTTTTTACTTCTGAGGTCACTAAAACCTCATGATTTAGCTAGGTCAATTTATTGTTATACTTCTTAGCCTTCATCCACATGAGGGCAATTTGTGTTCATGCCTTTAAAAGTTGGAGGAGGTACAGCTATGAACTGTGCTGTATAGCTTTTCAGTTTTCTTCTTAGCAATTCACAGGGTCTCTCCTATTGGTTTCCCAAATGTATTGAGGCCTGTTTTCCTGAAGCTGTTTTAATTCTGTTTATTTTCCTCCCTCCTTAATGACTATTACATCTCACATCTCAACGGTCGTGTTTGATTGTAACAGTGAGTTCCACCAGGAAATATAACACAGAACAAATGAACAGAATAAAAAGCAAAGTTTCATGATAAAGTTTCACCATCAATTTCTTCTTTGTGTGGGGAAGTCTTTCTTACTTCTTTCAGAGTTCTTTCATTCTGCTGATGCTGAGTGGCTAGGTTTTTTTAGATCATCTAGAGGCACAGGTAGCACAGTGTCAAATATACATCAGTAAATTAACAGAAAACAGGACTTTCAAAAGTAGTATTTTCAAAAGTAGTATATTCACCCAAAATTCTAGTAGTAGTATTTTTGATACACATTATCCTGTCCTGTAGTTACAGAAAAAGAACAATAAGGAAGAATTACCTAACCGTGAATGAATACATTTGTGTAAAATGCGGTAATTTTTTCAGTATCTCAAATTTACATTTATAAATCTAAATTGTAAGAATCCTTAACTTACTTTCATTGCAAAGAGAGAAGCAATGGAGGAGTGAATATAACATTAGCCATTTGCTAGGGTTTGTATTTTATTTCTTCTTACTGTGCTTTTAAATATTTTTTTAAATACATTATTTTTACCAGATAATATGTATTTGGCTGACAGATGAACTGAAAAGCTTTATAGCAAACTATTAGAAGGCAAAGAAAAATTGAGGCAAATATGGTTAGGAAGTATTAGTAACTCTAGCTTTGTCCAGGACAAAGTTCTAGCTCTCCAATTTGCTTCAAGGTATCTTATATAATCTTACTCAATCTAACAGCTCATCCTACTCATTCCCACTTCTATGCCAGGTCTAGCTTGCAACTTCATCAGACGCAGGCACTGTGAGAATGAAGACCTTGGGCCCACCGTAGGAGAGGATCTGGTTCGAGACCATCTTAAAAATCTGAATGTGCACAAGTCCATGGATCCTGATGAAATCCATCCACTGGTCCTGAAGGAGCTGGCAAAAGATGTTGCTAAGCCGCTGGCCATCATATTTGAAAAATCATGGCAGTCAGGTGAAGCTCCCGACGACTGGAAAAAGGGAAATATAACCCCCATTTTCAAGAAGGGGAAAATGGATGACCCAGGCAATTACAGACCTGTCTCACGTCTGTGCCTGGCAAAATCTTGGAGCAGATTCTCCTGGAAGGCATGCTAAGGCACGTGAAAATCAACAAGGTGCTTGGTGACAGCCAGCATGGCTTCACTAAGGGGAAATCCTGCCTGACCAATTGGGTGGCCTTCTCTGATGGGGCTACAGAACTGATGGACAGCGGTAAAGCAGTTGATGTCATCTACCTGGATTTATGTAAAGCGTTCAACACTGTCCCACATGGCATCCTTGTCTCTAAATTGGAGAGACATCAATTCGATGGATGGACCACTCGGTGGATAAAGAACTGGCTGGATGGCTGCACACAAAGAGTTGTGGTCAATGGCTCAACGTCCAGCTAGAGACCAGTAACGAGTGGTGCCCCTCACGGATCGGTGTTGGGACCGGTCTTGTTCAACATCTTTGTCAGTGACATAGACAGTGGGATTGAGTGCGCCCTCAGCAAGTTTGCTGATGACATCAAGCCGTGTGGTTCGGTTGATACGCTGGAGGGAAGGAATGCCATCCAGAGGGACCTTAACGTGCTTGTGACGTGGGCTGATGCCAACCTCATGAAGTTTAACCATGACAAGTGCAAGGTCCTACGCCTGGGTTGGAGCAATCCCAGGCACAGCTACAGGCTGGGCAGAGAAGAGATTCAGGGCAGTCCTGCAGAGAAGGACTTGGGGGTGCTGGTCGAAGAGAAAATGAACATGAGCTGGCAGTGTGCACTTGTAGCCCAGAAAGCCTGGGCTGCATCAAAAGGAGAGTGACCAGCAGGTCGATGGAGGTGATCCTGCCCCTTTACTCTGCTCTCGTGAGACCTCACTTGGAGTATTGTGTGAAGTTCTGGTGTCCTCAACATAAAAACATGGAACTGTTGGAACAAGTCCAGAGGAGGGCCACAAGGATGATCAGGGGACTGGAGCACCTCCTGCATGAAGATCGGCTGAGAAAGTTGGGGCTGTTCAGCCTGGAGAAGAGAAGGCTGCATGGAGACCTCATAGCAGCCTTCCAGTGTCTGAAGGGGGCCTATAGGGATGCTGGGGAGGGACTGTTCATTAGAAACTGTAGTGATAGGACAAGGGGTAATGGGTTAAAACTTAAACAGGGGAAGTTTAGATTGGATATAAGGACAAAATTCTTTCCTGTTAAGGTGGTGAGACACTGCAACAGGTAGCCCAGGGGGTTTAGAGCGAGGTGGCCCTGCCTATGGCAGGGGGGTTGGAACTTGATGATATTAAGGTCCTTTCCAACCCTAACTATTCTATGATTCTATTATTATATTTTAATCCATTGCCTTATTAAAGTTTTCTATAGAAGGATCAAATAAATAATAGTGAAAAGTTAGCAGCAGTGAGAAAAAAAATAGAGGGAAAAGTTGTCTACCTTATGATGTCAGTAAAACATTGCATCAGTGCAAGCTGGTGGTGCATAGTTTTCATCAGGTCTAGGCAAAGACAAATGGGAGAATGAGAGGAAAATCCAATAACATCCAATCCAGTACCAATAATACCATAGACCTGCACTGTATCATCTGTATCACAAAAATAAAGTTAATGTGCAAAAGCCTTAAGATTTACAGCAGTGCTGGTCTCACAGACTTCAGCCATATTGTAGTTGCAGAGGATTTAACAACCAGCCCTCCCTCACACAGCAAAATCAGTGCAACTTCACCTCCTACAGTTCACTTTAGTGAAAACCGGGAAACATAAAGGCTACTACGATGTGTTCTTAGATATAACTACTGCAATTCATTGCTAATTTTAAAAGTCTCTTAATCTGTGCTCCTGCTGAGTTCAATGCCCCACCTCCGCTGCCCTCTTACTGACACTACAACTACCATGTACTTAAGTCCTAAATACAGAGATCAGCCTTGAAAGTTTCAAGAGAGAGCTTCCACTGTAAAAGGCATGGCAGCATAAATTCAACTATCAAGAAAAAGTCTGCCAGTATTTCTCCTAAAACAAGTCATTTTTACTGGTAATTAAGGACTGCAATAATCACACACGAGAAATTTGACTGTAGTTGTTACTGCTTCTTATACGCTAAAAGACAAAAACATTATATGCCCCTCAGAGTCACCATGAACCCCAACAGAGATAAGACCAACAGCTGAAAGCAAGACACAGAAAGCCTGCTGTATTCTGCAGAGGGACTTTTTATAGAGGCATGTAGTGACAGGACAAGGCAGAACGGCTTTAAAGTGGGAGAGGGTAGGTTTAGATTACATATTCAGAAGAAATCATTTTTCTGAGGGTGCTGAAGCACTGGTACAGGGTGCTGAGAGAAGCTGTGGCTGCCCCATCCCTGGCAGTGTTCAAGGCCAGGTTGGACGGGGCTTTGAGCAACCTGGTCTGGTGGAAGGTGTCCCTGCCCACAGCAGAGGACTGCATCTGTATGAGCTTTAAGGTCCCTTCCAACACAAACTATTCTATGAGTCTATGATTAATCCAGAGGAAAAACACATTGCTGAGAAAACGGTGTTCACATCTTCTTCCCAGATGGCTATTTCAGCAGACCTGCTTTAAGTCACTGTCAGTTGTTCATGAAGTTTCACAGCAAAACTGGTCAGGGGAACTGCCCTGAAGGCAAAGAAACCATTACATGCTTCTGAAGGGAAGGTCTGCGCCCCTTCCTTCCCTCCTTTTCCTTTAGGAAGTGTAGTGACTTAAGTCTCAGACTTTCTGCTTCTCCTTGTATTCTTAAGAATGCAAGGATACAAGAATACAATTGTGCTCTAGTTGCTGGGACCATATAAAACATGGAGAACAGCAAACAGATAAACAAATCTGTGCAGGGAGAGGAAACAGGACTATTAAATATTAAAGCATGGGTACTGAGACATCCTCAGGGATACCGCCTTCAATAAATTACACATAGCTCTGCAGTGTAAGCATACTATCTCCAGAGAGTGATGTGAGGACATGCTATCAGAGCACCCAGGCTCCTGGAACACATGCAGAAACATAGAAAACTATTTTTCCTCGGAATGCAGTGAACACACACACTGGAGTTAATAAAAACGTACGCAGAAGTGCTCTGAGTTATCAAGGCAGGGGAGTTGGAACTAGATGATCTTAAGGTCCTTTCCAACCCTAACTATTCTATGATTTTACGATTCTAAGATGAGTCAGTCTGTTTATTGCTGCCTACCTACCTACTACAGGGTGATGACTATGCTCCAAAATCTCTCAGTAACTTGCTTTAGGCTTCTTCTTGCTTTGGAGCACCAGTCCAGTGATTAACCGAACACGTATCCCGAAGCGAGCCGCACGGGATGGGCCTACCGCCGGTCCCTCGCACTCATTCCCTCACTTGTAAGAGACCTACCCAACTGCAAACGGCTGCGGCACGGACACCGACCGCCCAGCACCGCTCTCCGCCAGCAGATCGGAGGGTCCCCGCGCAACCCTGACCCCAGCCACCAGCCGCCACCGCCGCCACCACCGCCACCGCCACCCCCACCACAGGCCCGGAGGCACCCGTTCGCGGCTCTCCCGCCTCCCGGCCCCCACGCGTACCTGGCCGAGTCTCGTGCTTAGGCACCCGGTAATACTTGTTGCCGAACTGGTCGGTGCCCACCAGCTCCTTGTCGGGCCCGAAGAGCCGCAGGCGCAGTGCGCGCAGCGCCTGCCAAGCCCGGCTCATCCCGCCGGCGCAGGAGTCCTCCCGCGGCCCCCAAGGTCGGCGCCACAACCCGCCACCCGCCGGCGCCTCTCAAGCCCCACCCCCGACGGGTCGCGTCATACGCGTGCGCCGTCCCGTGCCCTGACCTGCCCGATCGAGCACACAGCCTGACTCCGCCCATCTGTAGCAGGCATGCCAGCAACACCGCTCACCATTGGTGGGGGCCGGCCACCCCTGGCCCAAAATGGCTGAGCAGAGTAGAGTGGCTTCACGTTTTCGCCATGTTGGGGTTAATTTGGGCTCGTCAGGCCGGGCTCGACGATCCATTGCGGTTGCGCCGGGCCGAGGCTACCCGGAGGTAGCGGGGACCGGTGGGGAACTCGGGGTGGGTGGGGCTGCGCTGCGTGGGGCTGCGCTGCGTGGGGCTGCGCTGCGTGGGGCTGCGCTGCGTGGGGCTGCGCTGCGTGGGGCTGCGCTGCGTGGGGCTGCGCTGCGCTGCGTGCGCGAGGAGCACCCGGAGGCGGTGGCAGCTCCCGGCGCTGTCGCTTCGGAAGTCCTCGCCGACTCAAGCTGTGCTAGGCAGGCCTGAGAAGGGGCTTCGGCCTAGGGCGGAGCTCTGTCCTGCTCCGCCCTTCTAAGTGCTCCGGACGCGAGGAGCCGGCAGCCTCCGGAGGCCACAGCAGAGCTTGCGCTATGTCCTCGGTGCCTCTCCTCGGAGCGCCCCGCGGGGTTTTCAGCTGTGGGGGTCAGCAGCCGTGGGGTGGGATGAGTAGGGACAGGGCAAGGAGCTATACCCCAGTGTGTTGCTACCGTAACAGCTTCGCCAGGAGTTTTAATGTGTGTGTGGCTATACTTTGCTTTGTGAAAAACAAGGTGGATGTGATGCTTGTGCCCCTGCAGTTTGTCCTTCCTCTTCCCAAACTTGGCAGGTTGCAGAAGGGGTGTTTTTTTCTTAGGTTCCCAGCAGCTTTTGTGGAAAGTGGTGATTGTATGGAGAAGCTTATTAATATTCCTGCTAAAGATTATAATGTGTTAATTGTTCATTATCAGAGAATCAGTTTTGTACCTGTATTTTGAGATAAAGCAAGTCTCAGTTCAGTCACTCACACACCTCCAGCAGCAGGAAGGATTTGTGTTGCTCATTTGTAGCTTTTGGGGCTTTGTCATTGTAAAAAGGTTCTTCTAAAAAATTGAGATTAACTTCAGTAATTCAGAAAACTTATTTCTATGTGCATTTTGACAACACGATTTTACTTCATTTCTGTGCTCTAAGCACTCGTGTAGCATTCATTGTTAAGAAAAGCATAGTGGGAAGGATTTATGTTACTTGGACAGCTGTCTACCTAACATTTCCCATCCTAAGCATTTTAATTTTGACTTTAAATATAAATAATCTACAGTCTTCAGTAGATTGTATTTATAACTGAATTTTAAAGTAATTTGTTTTAAAACAGTTCCTTTGGGGGATTTATTGCTTCACTAAAATTCAGTCTTGACCTCAAAAATTTTAAACTAGGTATCTTGTATACATCAGAATTCTTGTTCTAGGTGAATTCTTGCATACTTACATTTAACATATTTTAAAGGAGCTTAAATGACTCACTGCTTTTGAAGCATGCCTGCAGACATGCTATTGGGGGTCTGCCTGTAACTGCCTATGTTTCTTGCATCAAGATTTTTGCAGCTGAAGCGAAGTAAGGGCACTTGGCCTTACAGCTTCTCAGTGATCTACTTGGTTACACTTTTGTTGATAGCAGTTTTTACAAAATAGTGCTGTGGGAAGCTCTGGTCATCTTGTAAGGCTAATATTGTATCAGGTAACATGTCTAAAGGAAGCAGAATCTGTCTCTTTTTTGGCCGTGTAATATTAGCATATTTATAGATACAGGCTACTACTAAGTAGTGCGAAATCCTAATTGCAGTTAAGAAAAGTTTGCCTTGGGAACTTCATGTGGATAGTGTAATTTTTATTTAATGTTACAGAAAACATAACACACAAACATTGTTTCCTTAAAGGAAATACTGTGATTTGTTGAACTGAGTGAATCTGTCCTCCACTAGGTGTCCGTAGTTCCAAGGAATGAATTTGTCCTCCACTAGGTGTCCCTAGTTCCAAGTGAACAGAAGCTTGGAAGGATGGTACACCAGGAAGCTTCGAACTAATATTTGTTGCATCTAAAACAACTGCTTCTTAATGTTGCTTTTGCTCACTGTTTGCAAATTACGTCCCATTTTTTGTTTTATATCTTGATCCCCAAATGCAGTTTTACTATTTCTTTGAGCTGATTCTACATTTTTATTTCTCTCTTACCTTCCAAACAACAAAGTATATTTTAATTTTTTTTTCCCGTACAAGTTCACAGGACTTATTTTCAGTCCTGTATTGCATCTGTTGTCTTAGTTTTGGAAAAAATAACAGGGATCGGTTAAGTGCATTGAGGAAGTGGGAAACTGTGGTTTGAGCTGTTCAGAGCACGTAGGAACATTTTGCAGTTCTGCTGTGCTAGTCTTGTTCGTACTTGTTCATAGTTCTGTTTTGGGATTTTTATGGTTTGTTTTTTTGTTTTGTTTTGTTTTAAGGGTTCTAAGTTTGGAATTAAATAAAGATAGAGATGTGGAAAGAATACATGGGAGTGGTATCAACACCCTTGATATTGAGCCTGTTGAAGGAAGATAGTAAGTATGCATTTTAGTTGGTAAAAATGTATATGATTACTTCACTGTGTTGGTACTATGGATTTATTTTCTTGTTGAACACTCAATCATATTGAGCATACTGAGATCATGAGTGTTGTAACTTATGTGCTTTGTTAACTCTTTCAGCATGTTATCTGGTGGGTCAGATGGTGTTATTGTGCTTTACGATCTTGAAAACTTGACCAAAGAAACGAGTTACACATGTAAAGCACTTTGTTCTGTGGGAAGGTAGGTACTCAAAAGTTCTATTAAAATTTTGTAGTGTAACATCTTTTGTGTGACAAATTAATGTGTGGTCTTATTTCAAGGATCACAGTATCACACAGTATCACAGTACGTTAAGAGATTGGAAGGGACCTCAAAAGATCATCTAGTCCAATCCCCCTGCCGGAGCAGGAACACCTAGATAAGGTTACACAGGAACGTGTCTAGGCGGGTTTTGAATGTGTCCAGAGAAGGAGACTCCACAACCTCCCTGGGCAGCCTGTTCCAGTGTTCCGTCACCCTCACTGAGAAGAAGTTTCTTCTCAAGTTTAAGTGGAACCTCTTGTGTTCCAGTTTGTACCCATTTCCCCTTGTCCTATCATTGTTTGCCACTGAGAAGAGCCTGGCTCCATCCTCGTGACACTCCTCCTTTATATATTTATATACACTAATAAGGTCACCCCTCAATCTCCTCTTCTCCAAACTATAGAGACCCAGCTCCCTCAGTCTTTCCTCATAAGGGAGATGCTCCACTCCCTTAATTATCTTAGTTGCCCTGCGCTGGACTCTCTCCAGCAGGTCCCTGTCCTTCTTAAACTGAGGGGCCCAGAACTGGACACAATATTCCAGATGAGGTCTCACCAGGGCCGAGTAGAGGGGAAGGAGGACCTCTCTCGACCTACTAACCACCCCCCTTCTAATACACCCCAGGATGCCATTGGCCTTCTTGGCCACAAGGGCACAGTGTCGGCTCATGGTCACCCTGTCGTCCACCAGGACCCCCAGGTCCCTGTCCCCTACACTGCTCTCTAACAGGTCGTTCCCCAATCTATACTGGAACCTGGGGTTGTTCCTGCCCAGATGCAGGACTCTACACTTTCCCTTGTTATATTTCATCAAGTTATTCCCCGCCCAACTCTCCAGCCTGTCCAGGTCTCACTGGATGGCAGCACAGCCTTCTGGCGTGTCGGCCACTCCTCCCAGCTTAGTGTCATCAGCAAACTTGCTGATAGTACACTCAATTCCCTCATCTAAATCATTGATGAATATATTAAACAATACTGGTCCCAGCACCAACCCTTGAGGCACTCCACTAGATACAGGCCTCCAACTAGACTCCGCCCCATAGACTACAACTCTCTGGCTTCTCTCCTTCAGCCAGTTCACAGTCCACCTCACTACCCGATCATCCAGACAACACTTCCTCAATTTAGCTGCAAGGATGCTGTGGGAGACCGTGTCAAACGCTTTGCTGAAGTCAAGGTAGACCACATCCACCGCGCTGCCATCATCCATCCACCGTGTTATTTCCTCATAAAAGGCTACGAGATTGGTCAAGCATGACTTCCCCTTGGTGAAGCCATGTTGACTGCCCCTCATAACCCTCTTATCCTTGATATGCCTTAAGATGGCACCAAGGATAAGGTGTTCCATCACTTTCCCAGGAATGGAGGTGAGGCTAACCGGTCTATAGTTACCCGGGTCCTCCTTCTTGCCCTTTTTGAAGACTGGAGTGACATTTGCTTTCCTCCAGTCCTCAGGCACCTCTCCCGTTTCCCAAGACTTGGTAAAGATGATGGAGAGCGGTCTAGCAATGACCTCCGCCAGTTCCCTCAGCACCCGCGGGTGCATCCCATCTGGACCCATGGATTTCTGGATGTCCAGATTGCTCAACTGGTCTTTAACCCATTCCTCATCGACTAAGGCAGACCGCTCCGGTGACCTGTCTTCATCTGCGGTCTAAGGATAAAAGACTGTAGAAAATAGTGCCAGAAATTGTGAAGGCTAGCAGGATGCAATATGTGTTTTGGTATGCAAAAAGAAGGCAGTAAATTTTGTATGGATTTATGTGATTTACTAAGTAGCAGGAATAACTGTTTTTTCTTTATTTGCCTAACAGTTACAATATACATACAATGACTGCCTCTTGGAGAAATATTCTTTGCATCCCCCAAGAATATACGGCATGTGTAGCTTTGAATAAATACATGTTTAAGCAAAAGGAAAATTATATTTGCATAATCCTGTTCGTCTGATTGAAAAAAGAAAAATCTAATACAGATTTGTAGTCGTTTTATTTCCCGTCTGCCTGCTCCAGCTTTACTAATAACTATTTTAGGTTCACCAGATGCAAAGATAATTAATACAGGACTTCTTAAGACCATGTTTGACAAAGACATGCTTGACGTGAGTGGTGAGGCACTGGAACAGGCTGCCCAAGGAAGTTGTGAATGCTGCATCCCTGGTAGTGTTCAAGGCCAGACTGGACAGAGCCTTGGGTGACATGGTTTAGTGTGAGATGTCCCTGCCCATGTCAAGGGGGTTGGAAGTAGATGATCTTAAGGTCCTTTCCAACGCTGGCTGTTCTATGATTCTGTGAAAGACAGGTGTATTACTGACAAAAATGAGACATTTCTGAAGAACAGGGTACTGCCATACTGTGTGTAATCTATACAAAGACTCAAACCTTTATTGACTTGTCTGGGTTTCACTGCAGGCAGTATAACGTTCTCTGTTGTGATCATTAAGTCTTCTAGGAAAAGCTTTTCTCCTTGTGTTTAGATAGCAAAGTTATCTAGTAGGTGAGGGCTTTACCTGAGATTCACAAACTACGTCCTACTGTGTGAAAGATTAGTAGCTACATTTTCCCTTACTTTTTTGTAGTCTTCAAATTACTTGAGGTCTATGAGCTTTATGAGTAAGACTGACAAGAATAGGACAGATTTGTAACAGTAAAAGGCCTAAATGGTATCTTGGGCCATAAGAACAAAAAAGGGTAATAGAATATGCCTCAAAACCAGAATTTACTGCAAGTCAGCTGCATTTGGTAAGAGTTTGATGGCTGGGATTTCTTGAACAAAATTAATTAAAACTGTAATTAAGAACAAGTAAGAACTATACGTATCCAAATCTCAAAATAGAGATGAATTTTGAAACAGATACAGCAAACTGAAGAAATACATGGTGAGAAGACAGCATGGAAACTGGCAAATCCAGGCTAAAAATGACACTATCATTAACTCCAGTTAGGTCAGTAGAAATATTCCTTACTTGAAAATTCTATTTATGAACACAGTTGTAGTCTGTTTCTTGAGCAGGTATTAAAATGCATCGAGGCAAGTTTGTTCCTTATCAATTGAGTAGAGACATAAATCACATTAGTAGAATCTGATTCTGTGTAACACAGTAATGATAGGCTTATTAGGCTATCATTTCTGCATAAAGTTACTATAGTAGGGTTTTTTGCCTCAATTATTTGTTCCCAGTTTTCATGTAGTTTTCTATTACATTTTAAATACTTAGTGTAGCTAATTAGCTATGGGTATAGCTTCAGATATTGGAGTATTACTCATACGAAGTTCCTGACATCTTAAATGAATTTGTAGTTACCAGTAAAAAATGCTTCCCATCTGACTGTCTGGCTCTGGTCTTTGAAGTATATGATAATGTCATGTTGCTAAAGTTAACCTGTGTTCCAAGTTTACAATGTCACAATGCAACTGTGGTCCCAAAGTTCCTTACAGGAGAGGCCCTTTGAAGCTCTTTATGTGTAGACCTTGAACTGGGCCTGCTGAGTTTAGTGCATCCTGATGTCCAGCTGTGATTTAGCCAGTGTTTCTCTCTAGAATGTAGGGCCACTATTGCAAAACCAAGACCTTTCTGTGTTGCACTGGGAGTCAGCACACAGAGCTTTACATGTTTTTATGGGATCCATGGTGTTCTGTGACGAAAACTGACATTTGAGAGAAGCTGAACAATGCTAGCTTCTGAGTAATATACAGCTGATGCTTGTCTGTAAGTTAGTCTCTCCTACTGAAAATCCTTCAAAGAGGAATGAGTGTCAGTGACTTTACTATCCATAGAATTAATTATGTACTTTGGTAGAAAAGTTTGGGATATTCTGTGTAATGGGAGAAAATGGGTATAAAATACAGCCCTGAGAGATGAAGTCGGGCCTAGTGACATGTAGCTGTTACTAAGGTTAGCCAGATCAAAGATTATTCCTGCAGAGCTTCTCAAGAATATTTTAGTTCATTCCTAAACCCTCTGGATTATGGAAGAAATAATTGCTTTCACATAGTGCTGAGCACAGTCCAGTGTTGAGCACCTGTACTCTTAGTACCAGGATAATTAGTTCCAAGAGTTTAGGGTTGTTTTTTTTGGTTTTTGTTTTTTTTTTTGGGGGGGGGAGGTTGTTTGTTTGGTTGTTTTTTTTTAAATTCTTCTGCACAGTGCATACAAAAGCCTTTGCAAGAGTAAGTTTGCTCTGAGTCAGGAGTGATTTCCTGGTGCTGCAGGTTGCAAAGATTTTTAGCTTGATCCACCTGTAGAATAAGTGCCTAAGATCTGTTGATTTTTGGCACTATGACAAAATAACAGGCTGCTCTCAGGTATGCCTCAGAGATAAGTGATGCAGGAGTTACTAAGGAGAGCTCAGCAGTTGCTCAATAGTCCCCACTTGATGTCTTCAGTGCTGGCTTATGGCAAACTATTTAAAGATACGTTCTGTGCTTTCTAGCAACCCAAGTGAGCAGGAAAGTTTACTAGCTTAGGTGTAGTGCCAGATCTGTACAGAAGATCTGCATCTGTGTTTACACAGCGATAGCCCTGTAATAGTTACCGCTTTGGAGGCCAGGACACCTGAGAGAGCAATGCAAAGATAAGAGCTGAGGTGAAGAAATCTGAGCTCTTCTGAGCTGTAGATGGAGCCAGCTGGACTATTTTCACAAGTGTATTGCATCTGGCTGGAATGGAGTTCAGTTTCATCATACTAGCTTGTATGGTGCTATGGTTTGGATTTGTGACTGATCTTGCTAGCATGCTGTTTTAGCTATTGCTGAATAGTGCTTGTGCAGTGTCACACAGAGTCTGTTCCTCACTGTGCTCCCTTAGCAAGCAGGCTAGGAGTGGACAAAAGGCTAGGAGGGAATACAGCTGGGACAGCTGACCTGAATTGACCAAAGGGATGTTGATGTTCAATGCCATGAAACATAATGTGCAGCAACAAAATTGAGGGGGAAAGTTTTTAAGGAGCTGTCATTTCTCAGGTTCTGGGTCTTAAGGGATTGCTTTTGCATTGCTTGCCTCTTTTTTTTTTTATTTTTTATTGTTTTGTTTACTTTTACATATTAAAATGCCTGTATCTTAACTAGGTTTTCTCACCTTTGCCATTTGTATTCTGTCCCTCATCCCATTGCATGTGGGGTGTGAGCAAGCTGCTGTGGTGGTGCTTAGCTGCCTACAGTTAACCCACAACAGCATGGTTAAAAAGGTAAATAATCTGTAGTTTCTTGAAACAAAGGCTCTTGGAAGTAATTAACATCGGTTGATAGAAAATTGAAACAACTAATTCTTTAATACTTCAGTACAAAATTTCGTTTAAGAAGTTTAAGCTACGTTTTCAACTTGTCATCAAATACCAAGACAATTATAAGATGATTATCAAGACGCTAACCAACTGGAATCTTTTCCTTGATCTTAGGAGCCATCCTGATGTACACAAATTCAGTGTGGAGACAGTCCAGTGGTATCCTCATGACACTGGCATGTTTACATCCAGCTCGTTTGATAAAACCTTGAAAATATGGGATACAAATACTTTAAAAGTAAGAGAATTTCTACAAGTTACAGGCTTGTTTGTATACGTATTATTCATTCCACAAATGGAGTTCTCCCAGAGCTCAACAGGACCAAGTATCCAGAGGATGAAAACTAGCAAATTGTTAGAACTGTGAGTGCAGGTCTGTCGTCATTGTTATCATTGCAGGGACAGAGTAAGAGAATAAATTTTGACCTCTTTTTGTCAGATGTGAAGCCATATTTGCAGTTACTAAATCTTTTCATAACTCAAAAGTTCAGTTCAATTCCCAGGTAGCTCTGTGGGCATCACTTAAAGCAGTGAGCATGTGAAGACTGATTGACCTGTTGTGCCACCAAATGTTGTATTTGAAAACACAGAAAAGTTAATTTTAAGGGTTTTTTTTCAAATACACTTTATTTTAGAATAGGACAACTAAAGCAACTGTTCCTGAAAGTAATTGCACCAATTATGAAAGCACATACAATATTCCTGTAATTTTAACATTTACAATGTTAAATAATTTTCTGTGGTGGTCTTTTTGTGGATTTTTGTGTGTTTCAGTTTTGTTGGTTTGGGTTTTTTTGTTTTGTTTCTTGTTTGTTTGTTTTTTGTGGGAGAGTGGGGTTTTGTTTGGTTTGTTGGGTTTTTTCTTTTTTTTTCTTTAGGAATTGAAGATAGTGTGTGATGTTTGTGAATGACAAGAGACTTCTAAATTTAGATTAAGCACTTTCCTTCTCTTGCCTTCTGTCTCTATATCATAACATTCCCATTTGTTGGTGGTTTTTTTTCTTTGCTAACTTTTTTTCAATAATTTCCATTTATGCCTCTGAATAGCCATTTTTCTTGGTCCTTCCTTTGAGTCATCTCAGAGCTCCAGCGTAGTTGTTCTAATCTTGGAAATATACTTACTTTGCAATGTTTGTGTGACATGGTTTCTAATCAGGAGACTTATTGTTAGTATGTAAAAAGTAATATTTGTATTAGTCTTACTTGTAGCTGTTACTTGAAAAACTCTTAATGAGAATTTTAATTATGATAAATTGTGATGTGATTAAATTAATCTTATTGTAAGTCTGCAGATGCCTTTCACTTTAAAGGGACAGTTTATAGCCATCACATGTCTCCAGTTGCTACAAATCATTGTTTAGTAGCAGGTACGTATGTGTTTTTAAGAAATGCTGTATGTATTTTGGTCTTAAAGTAATAAGCAGATGTAATATTTGGTAGGGTTTTTTCCTCTCCCTGTCTTTGTTCCTTGATAAAATATTAGTGGCTAGTTAGGTGTTTATGAAAATATCATGTTGGTTCTTTTGAAATAATGCATCAGATAGAAATTCTTAGCTATAATTAGATTACTTTTCATTACATAAGTTAGCATTTGAATTTCATTAGATCCAAACATAGTAAACGGTGTAAATGAGCTCTGTGCATGTTGCTTGCATGTCCACATTTGAACTACGTTTAGCAAAAAAAAAAAAGTTGTTTTTTTTTTTTTTAATGTTTAAGTTTCTTAAGTACTGTCCTGTTTACCCCCAGTTTCTAAGTTGTCTGTTATATAGGAAGTTTACTTGGACTAAAAATGTAAATCCGTTACTAGAACCCATTGTTCTGACTAAATTAACCATTATGCAGCTAACATTTTTCTTCTATTTCTTTCTTATTGTTAAGATCTTTTTATTGTTTTCTCGAATGCTGGGTTTTATTTTTCTTAGCTGTCTTTGTTTTTCTTGTTACAGTTGGTACCAAAAGCCCCAAAGTACATCTCTGTGACTTGAAGTCTGGATCTTCTTCTCACATTCTTCAGGGTACTTTTAGTCTGAAACATAAATGTTAAACAATAACTACTTTGAGTAAAACAAGTCCTGTAAAGAAACACTGTATACAATGTATTCTTTGTAAGTAACATGACTAATTTATTTATTGCCAGTTGTGAAAGTTACACAGTGGCAAAAGGTTCTTCTGGGTGTTAGTGGTAATGAATTGGGTAATACAAATACTAATTAATGAACAATTATTACAGATGTTCAGGCATTTTCATGATCTAATCGATAGTGATAACTATTTATTACATGTTTAAGCATAGGCAGTGTTTTTGTGCTCATGGAAATTTGATATGGGTTGCTGTTTTTGGGGGGTTTTGGTGAGATTTTGATTGGGTTTGTTTTTAAAAAAAACAACAACACCCAAACTAACCAAACACACACACACACACACAAAATCACTCTTTTCAACAAAATATCCTGTGGAGGTGCTTGCATGGCTTTGTTTAGAAGTTTCTATATAACTGGCGAGTTATTACTCGCTATAGAAGGGTGATATCTAATCCGTTTCATTTACCCAATTCACTAAACACAGGGGCTTTATTGTTCTGTAAGCCATTCATTTTTATACTCAATGTTTTTAATGTTTACTTTTTGGAGTATGAGTATATATACAAATGCTCAAGTGAAGGCAATTACAAAGTAAATCATTGTGCTTCAAACCAGCAGAGCAAGAGGCAGATCTGATCCAGAAACTTTAGAGGAGTGTTAGCTCAGACAGCAATGTGGAAATGCAGCCTTATTTCTTCACTGGCCAGCTCAAATCTAAAAGGTGCTTTCATGGAATGCAGAGCTTAAGTCACCAAATCCTTCTGAATTAAATTTGCTGCAAGAGGTGTGTCAGTGGTCTGTTTCTAGAACAGAGAGTACCAGAGAGTGCAGACAAAAAAGTTGTTCACTGAAGAATCAGTTTTGTTCCAGCAGAGCTACTTAATTTTGACAGAAGAGTTAGTGCTTTCCAGGAACAAGCCGGTTGTGTCTTTTCTGATATAGTTAGCTTGAATGCAGTATTAGGGGAACAAGGAGAAGGAGATTGTCTTCCACTGAACATAATAATTCTTTACAGAACTTGAACCACTCAATAGTGTCTTGGAAAATAGATATGAACATTTTTTCACATTGACTAACTCTAGCAGCCAAAATAGAGGTAAATGCTTGTCTGTAATTTACTCAATGGATCCAAATGTGTCTGCCGTGAGCCTTCCAATTGTATCCAGTAGTATCTGTGTTATGGATATTTTTTCCATTATCCCGGGCATCACGGTCCTTAGATTATTTCAGGTAATGGAAAACCAGCTACTAGAAGATGTGCCAGGAACAAGGTGGTTCACATAGTTTTAAACTCTATTAAACTTCTATTTGCTTTAACTTAGGGTTGTTTTTTTTTTTTTTCAACAATGTATTTCTAGTATTACATGAAGCATGATTACCACCTTTCCATCTAAGACACCTTACACTCCCATTGCCTCTATTTATGAAATTATATTAATCATTTTAAAAAGTTACCAGGTTTCAAAGCGTGTGTATCTATGTACGTAATACATATTAGTTATCCACTAAGCAGCACTGGGCATGACATTTTATCTTAATGTCTTAGTATTTCAGACCTAATTAAGGTAAAAATATTCCGTATTCAGGACAAGAGTATTTGAGCTGGGTGAAGTTTTAGTCTTAAGTACATAAGGTAAATGTACTTTTTATTAAACATTTTGAAAGGATTTGAAGAAAAAGAACTGGAAAGTACCTTCTGCATATGAAAACACCAGTGAAAACATAAAACTTCATAAAAGTGTTAGAAGTAAATTGCAGTTCCACTTGAACAAGAAGAAGAAAGGAAACAACCTCTAGCACAAAACAATACGCTTTCACAAAATTCGAATTCACATTACAGTTTAGATAATTGTTCTGGTTTGGTGGGTTCTATAAAATGAAGTACTTGCTTTTACTTTTAGTTAGTTAAATAAAATGGTGTGTATAAGCCTTTTCATTTAACTTTTAGGTCACAGGCAGGAAGTACTGGCAGTGGCTTGGTCCTCACGTCATGAATATGTTTTGGCAACAGGAAGGTAAGGGTGTTGTTGGACTGTGACATGTGCTAAAAACGTCTGATGGTAGAACTTTATATGTTCATTTTCTGTGTTTTTTACAGTTTAAATGCACTTTTCAAGTTTATTTTCATCATTTACTTTAACTTAGTCACAGTTTTGTAGGTCTTGCCTAGAAAAAAAGCCTGAGATCCAAATTACTAGAATCATAGAATAGTTGGGGTTGGAAAGGACCTTAAGATCATCAAGTTCCAACCCCCCTGCCATGGGCAGGGACACCTCCCACTAAACCATGTCACCCAAGGCTCTGTCCAGCCTGGTCTTGGACACTACCAGGGATGGTGCATTCACAACTTCCTTGGGCAACCCATTCCAGTGCCTCACCACCCTTACAGTAAAGAACTTCTTCCTTATATGCAATCTGAACTTCGCCTGTTTAAGATTGTAGGGTTCTGAAATAGTAATTGGATTTAAATATATATGAAAATGATAGAACATTATTAAGACACTTAGTTTTTATTGTTTATTAGCACTCATATTGCTGATGTGTTTTACAACAAAGTAAAATGTTTAGCTCAAAGTACCATTCTGATTAGCCACTGCTAATATCAAAGAGCATAACTTGGGTAGCTTAGCTGATGGGTAATAACTTTCCAAGCTGCAAGTACTTCTGTGAATATAGATTGTATATTGATATTCCTGGGCCTTTTATTTTTTCAGTCTAAAAGATCCTCTTGACTTTCCTAGAAGTTTTGCATAATTTAGCTTTTAATTATAATGTGACATTACCCAGTTTCATGTTGGGATGTCTTTTCTTTTGAATTGCAGAGATGAATGGCCATTTTATAACTTGATAACTTGAGAGTGAAATTTAACTAAGTTGATATAAAAATTGCATACCTTTGCCTTCTGATGTCAAACCCCTTAATTCAGAGGTGAGCCAGTACAAGCCCCACGAAGCTCAATAAGGCCAAGTGCAAGTCCTGTACCTGGTAATCCCAAGAACAAATCCAGGCTAAGCAGAAAATGGATTGAGAGCAGCCCTAAGGAGAAGGACTTGGGGGTGTTAACTGGTGAGAAGCTCAGCGTGAGCCAGCAGTATGAGCCTGTAGCCCAGACACTATCCTCAGCTGCATCAAAAGAAGTATGGTCAGCGGGTCAGCAGAGGTGATTCTCCCACTCTGCTGTGATCTCATGAGATCCCAGCTGGAACACTGCATCCAGCTTTGGGGGCCCCAGCACAAGAGGGACGTGGACCTGCTTGAGTGAGTGCAGTGGGAGGTCACAAAGATGATAAGAGGGCTGGAGCATTCTGCTATGGAAACAGGCTGAGAGAGTTGGTTTTGTTCACTCTGGAGAAGAAAAGGCTTCAGGAAGACGTTATAGCAGCCTTCTAGTACCTAAAGGGGCCTTACAAGCAATCTGGAGGGTGACTTTTTACAAGGACAGTTAGGCATAGGACATGGGTAATGGCTTTGAACTGAAATAGCATAGATTCAGATACAGGCATTAGGAGGCAGTTCTTTACTGTGAGGGTGATAAGGTACTGACACAGGTTGCCCAGGGGAGCTGTGGCTGCCCCATCTGTGGCAGTGTTCAAGGCCAGGCTGGATGGAGCTTTGAACAACCTGGTCTAGTGGAAGGTGTTCCTGCCCATGGCAGGGGGGTGGAATGAGATGTTCTTTAGTGTCCGGTCCAGCACAAACCATTCTATGGTTCTGTGATCTCTATTCATGTTCCTAGAATACTTGTTTGATGTAAAGTAATATGCTGTCTGCATACTCAGTTGGAATATCACTTGAAAGTTAATAGAATCGGTCTGTAGTGTACAGGGGAGCACAAAAGAATAAATCAGTCATTAGCTTTGTCAAATACAGAACATAAGTAACAGTTTTGCTTTGATCAGTTTTAATATACTATTTATATTCCTCATATACTGCACTCTTTATGGACAATTAAGTTGCTGGGAAGTGTCCAAATAGTTTCACTAAATATATCTACACTGATGACTTAGTGCATGGGAAATAGTATTTTCTGTTAATTCTCATCTATAACTGGGAATCTTGGGGATGCATACAAAATTATACTACTGGAATGCTTAAATCAAACTGCACTTCAAGGTGCTTTACAAAGTGCACTGCCTGCAGTGTTGCAGTCTGTGTGTATGTAGTCCCAAGAGTTACCATTACTTTTGTTGTTGGCAAAGACAAAGGGTTAGCAAAGCATGAACGTGTGGTGACCTGGGAACCAGAATGAATCACAGCAGCCTGAAACTTGGGGTTTCTCTCCTTGTGCCACCCTGGTGGACAAAGCCAGAAAGTTTATACAAAAGCAAGAATCACTGTTTCTGTGCCATAGCAGTGCGTGAGAACAGAGCATAAAACCTGTATGACAGCAAAGCATATAGACCTGTCCAGCCTACATGTCACCAGCCAACTTCTGTAGCAGTCATACTATAGATTTGTGATAGCAAGAGCCTTAGTTCCCAGACAATCGTTACAGATAGTGATGGAGTCTGTAGCTACGGTTTACTCAACAGAAGAATTAGCAAGTTTATTTCTAGTCTGTGTGGGCATGTAAGAGTATTGTGCTACTAACAAAGAGGCAAGTATATTGTATTGTAAAAAAAGGTTCACTTTTAACTTAGGTGCCTGTAGTGTACTAGGTATGTGTATGAGTAATTGTAAATTCATGTCTGAATTCTGACAAAAATATTTTCATTAAACTATTGGCTTGATTGTGACTGCATAATATGTAGTTCAGAATAGTTGCTGAACCAGGGTGAGTGCAGGTTGGTTGGCTTGAGATAGTTACTGAACTAGAGTGCATACAATTTCCTTAATGTACGCAAATCTGTTTTTCTTAGTGCAGATGGTAAAGTGAAATTATGGGACGTGAGGAGAGCATCTGGATGTCTGAATACACTTGATCAGCACAATGGAGAAAAGTCCAAAGCATCTTCGGAGGCAGGTAATACAGAATATAAGTGGTGGTAATCTTTAGGTAGCTAGAAGTAGTCTCATATTTCGTAGATGTATTGAGTGCTAAAACTAGCAAAGGACAGTAGTGATAATCCAGTTATTGTCTATTGTGTGACACCAGCCATTGAATTTTATTCAGTTACTTCTGTTACAGAGGCAGTGTTTGTCATTGGGGATCTTGCTTAGAGAGATGTCTTTGGCAGTGGTATTGTATCATTCTAAATGCTTCCCCCCCTTAAATGGGAAAAAATTGCCATCTGTTTTATGGACAAAAGAATTCACTCCTGTTGGAGATGAGGCAATTGTTTCATATTTTGCAAGCCGTGTCATGTTAAGGTGGTGTCTTTACCCCAGTGAGAGGCTTATCTCCCTATAAGGGGGAGGATTTCACCCCTTCACCTCTAAGTTTGATGCATTTATTACTACCCCAGGAACAACAACACCCTTGAGACTCTTTTAGCTGATTAGGCTATCAGAGTCTTCTGCAGGCACTCCACTGGACAGCACACTATATCAGAAGGTGATTCCTACTCTCTTATTCAGAGTACACAGCAACAGATTCACCCATCAAGTTAAAAATTTTCTAAGTTTTTTAACCAATTTAAATATCTGAAAGCTCAAGACAAAATAGATCTTAACTGAGCACTTTTATTATATAATTTTGACAGTTTTAAGGTTCAAATGTTTCTGGCAACAATATAATATACTAACTCAAATAAGCAACATGAAAATAATATATAAAGCCATTCAAAATAATGCATAAAGCTAAAATCCAGTCATTAAAAGTGGAGAAATGTGTACACTTCTTAGCCAATAAGTGTCCCTGTCTGGGGGAGAAGACTGGTTCAGACCATCAACTGATCCCAGTAGTTACAATGGAGTCTTCCCTAATTTCAGACACACACACACTCCCTTAATTTTGCATACTTATATGATTTAATGTCAATTAGTAACTTCCCACACTACCACCCTACCTCCTTTTACTGCTAATGTGCATAAGGATTACATTATTAAATGCCTAACTATGCATGGTCCTAGGAGGGTCTCCTGACCTTGGCAGGGGTCTTTGGACCTATGGGTATGACTTTTAGTGTTAAAATGAGGTTGTAATGAGGGAAGTTTACCAAAAGGGCACCTAATCTTCTATTTCTGACTCATGAAAAATATTTTGACAATTATCCTGGTGTTATCAGGATGTAGCAGACTTCAGTGAGACTATTTATTGATTAGAGGTTCATTAGTCTAGTTTTTCTCAGTCTTGTTTTTCTGTCAGCCTACAGAAGCCAAAGCTTCTCCAGCTGTCAGTTCTCATTGTGACTCACTATTGTTTTTCAGGTCTCCTGATCCTTTCAGGGTCTTTCACGATAATACAGGTTTTAATTTCTTAACTAAATAACTATGGAATTGTAATTATATATTAAAGTTTATGCCTATGGAGTTTTAACTAAACACCTATGGAGCTTGGGTGTCTCTAGTCATACATATTTTGGTGTGAAATTCTCTCACTTTATAATCATTGTCTGTCGGTTGCTCAGAGATTTATCAGTACATAGTGTCTTCCTATTCCTTTACCTTCAGGGACTGTAATAGCCTGTCCACAGTGTCTTCACTCTGCTCCACTCTCTGGTTTATTGTAGCATGTGCTAAGGTTGCAGGGTTGCCTGAAGAACTGTTGTAGGGTACCTTGTGTGCATGCTAACCACATTCCATCCCAGAAGTAGCAGCTGCATTTAACCCTGAAATTTCTTTAGTATTACAAAAAAGTTTAGTATTACTTTGAGAATCTGTGGGAGGAGGAGGGATTGTCTCTAATTTCTGCCATTGTCCCAAAAGCTGTTCCCATTGTCAGCTGCCATTTTTTTAAAAACAGACAGGAGAAACAAAACCCACCAAAGCACATTTCCTTTCCTGTTTAAATTAGTCTTGCTTTCCCTGCAAGCGACTAGAATATTCTCTTATGTGGTGCTGTAAAATCAATTGTATTCCTTTTATACTACATAAAGTATACAACAGAGTATAAATTTATGATTATATTTCATTATACAGGAAGCTAAATTACACTCTTATTTCAGTGCAGTCATGTGCATTAATGGTGCCTTGTATCAGTTGTTACTAAATGCAACATTAATATTTTTATTCATCTTCAGGTCACATTTCCTTACCTACAAAACAAAGCCTGAACAAAACCCAACCCTAATTCAAAGGGAAGGTTTTGAACTTAAAATTATAGCTCATTATTTTTGTCAGTTCTGGACAAAAAATACATAATTTTGTCAGGCCGAAAAAGTACTTGAGCCATTGCTGCTTTCAGGTAAAAGTACGTAGTATTTGGAATTGAATTGTAGAGTAGGAGCTGTTTCATGCCTCTGAACAAAGGGGTTCTTGTAGCATAGATTGTAGTGATTAAAGCGTACAACTCTGTCTCACTTGTACGTGTAACTTAAATTGTATGTAGAAAAATACATGTAAAACTCTCAAGTCAAACTAATTTTCTAAAATGTCAGAGGACATGAAATAGCAGTAAGTATCTGCTTTAATAATTGATAATTGTTCTATAATCTCTCTGGTGTATAAATTGTAATATCAAGGTTTGGTTTTGACAATTTGAAATTTTATTGAAATTCAAGAAATTACTGAGATGAAAATGCTCTAAAGAAATCTATGGATTATGAAATAAGAAAAAATCTGGGCAGATTGTTTTATGAAAATCTGAATTCTATGTAATTCACAAGATAATTGGTGCCATTCCTTTGAGTGTCATGATGTCTTATTTAAACACAACTTTCTTTGCAACTTTATTTCTCTGAGATATTCAAGATAATTTTTGACTAATCTAATGGCAATCACGTAGACTAGGATATTAAATACATTGAAACGTAGCTTAGCTGAACTAAATGTGGCTAACTTTTTCTAATAAAGTCTTTGGAAAACAGTTAACACTTCTTACCTAAGAGGTATGTCTGAATTGTGTACTGCAGTATAATGCAGTGATACCTTGTCCATTTTGCAGGGAGTTCATTTATGGGCATCATAATTAGGTTTGCTTTGGTAGCACTGGGTTGAATTTAGCTACTTGAATATATGTAAGAATGTGCAGTACTGCAGGATGAACTAAGTGGAGTTAATTGATAGTACTCTATAAAAAATATAGAATAGACCTACAATGATTGTCTAGTCCAGCTGCCTACCCACCTCACGGCTGACCAAAAGCTAAAGCATCTTATTAAGGGCGTTATCCAAACGCCTCTTAAACACTGACAGGCTCAGGACATCAGCCACATCTCTAGGAAGCCTGTTCCAGGGTTTGACCACTTTCAGTAAAAAAATGCTTCCTAATGTCCAATCTAAACCTTCCTTGGTGCAACTTTGAACCATTCCCATGTGTCCTGTCACTGGATCCCAGGCAGAAGAGCCCAGCATCTCCCTCTCCCTTTCTCCTCCTCAGGAAGCTGTAGAGAGCAGTGAGGTCACCTCTCAGCCTCCTTGTCTCCAAACTAGACAAGCCCCAAGTCCTCAGCTGCTGCTCACAGTAAATGCCCTCCAGCGCTACCAACAGCTTTGTTGTCCTCCTCTGGAGGCATTCGAGGGCCTTCACATCCTTCTTTAATGGTGAGGCCCAGCACAGCACACAGGGCTCCAGGGGAGGCTGCACCAACACTGAATACAGTGGGAGAATCACCTCTTTTGACTGGCTGGGCATACTGTGTGGTGCACCCAGGGTACGGTTTTCCCTCTTGCCTGCCAGGGCACAGTGCTGACTCCTATTGAGCTTAGCATCAAACCAGCACCCAGAGGTCCCTTTCTGCAGGGCCACTCCCCAGCCACTCTTCTCCAAGTTCATACTGTGCCCTGTGTTACTCTGTCCTAGGTGCAGAATTTGGTGTTTGGGTGTGTTACATTTCATCCCATTCATTGCCCAATGCTGCAGTCTACCTAGATTGCTCTGCAAGACATCTCCCAGTTTGGTATCATCAGCAAACTCTAATGGTGCATTCAGCTCCAGCATCCAGATCATTGATAAATATATTAAACAGAACTGGCCCTAGAATTGAGCCCTGAGGAACACCACTAGCGAGTGATCGCCAGACAGACACTTTTATAAACCAAGAGTTTAAAATTATTAATTTACTGATACATTGACATTTAAATAACATTTTCAGTACTATGCATTGAAATAAAAATGTTTATACAAATAGTAATTCTTCTGCAGAAATCTGAAGCAGGTTGGTTTGTTTGTGTTTTTTTTTTCCTACAGCAAACAGTGCTCACACTGGGAGAGTTAATGGTTTATGCTATACAAATGATGGACTTCATCTGTTAACCACTGGTACAGATGATCGGATGCGACTCTGGAACAGCTTCACTGGAGAAAATACATTAGTAAGTTATGGAGCATCTTCAGTTATGTTTTTACTTCCTTAAGTAAAGCTTTACTTGCCTTTTTTTACTTAGAAGATTTATAATTTGTGCAATTGTCATTACGACTTTGGATATTCATTTCATAAAGGGTATAGCTGCTTAATCTTATCATTAGAAGATTGAGTGAGCTTTTATTTTTTCAAATTTCTTTTGTTATTTCTTTTGTTATTTCTACTTAGTAAAAAAAGAGTATCAAGAACTTGGGTCTACTTAAAGATTAAATATGGTAACTTCTCATGGTTTAAGCACAGTCAGCCACGCAGCTGCTCGCTCACCCCCACCCCGCCCCCCACCTGTCCGCTCATCACCTGCCAACCGATACCCAGCCTGACCCAAGCAGCAATCTAGGCCTTGCAGGTAACTGCCCCCAGTTTATATACTGGGCATGACGTACTGTGGTGTGGAATACCCCTTTAGCTAGTTTGGGTCAGGTGTCCTGCCTCTGCTTCCTCCCGGCTTCCACTCGTCCCTGGCAGAGCATCAGACTCAGAAAGTCCTTGGTCAGACTAAACATTACTGAGCAGCAACTAAAAACATTGGTGTTATCAGCGCTGTTCCCAGTCTGAAAGTCAAAACCACAGCACTGCACCAGCTACTAAGAAGGAGAAATATGACTGCTACTGCTGAACCCAGGACATAACTTTAAATTCATTTTGTGAGTGCAGCTGAAAACACTTCAGACAGTAGTGAAAGTCTTAATATGTAGTGACTAATGGTAGAAATGTTTATATACTTTTTTTAGCTGTTAGTTGTCAGTGTGCTAGCCACAGGGCAGTTGTCCATACCTGATTGACTGCCTGGCTTTCTTGCAGCTTTGTATTTTTGTGAAATCTCTTCTGTGAAATCCTGTAGCAATCTTAAAGGTATTTATTCCTCTACATCTTCATTACAACCAGATGGGGAGGGAGGAATATTAATCTTCGCTGCTTTTCCAGCCCTTCCTATTCCTTGTTGTTTGCTAAAGGTTCCTGTTTTAATTTTCTGTTCAGTAAATATAGTATGTTCTTCTTTCAAAATATGCATAGATAACTCAGTTTCTGTGGGATTGTAGCCAGGTGTGGTTATGGTCTGTCACTGCTAGCAGAAAAGGAAGAGATTTTACTCTACCTTAGTAATATTTTAATTCTGCTGCTGAGTTTCAGAACACAGCAAGAATAATTCTTTACAGACATTTAAATGAAAGAACTTTTCTATCTCCTTGCTACCCGTATTTGCCAGCTTGTTCTCAAGACTTCATATACAGACATCTTCCTGTCTTGTAATCACCATCACAAAAGTAGAAAATAAGGTTTGTTCACTCTCCTGTCACCAGCTGGATCAGTATGTTCTAGTTTTTTGTGCCTGTTAGTTTGTTAACTTGTTTCATAGGCTATTTTACTTTTTTTTTTTTTGGTGTGGAATAGCTTGATATCCTGCCTTGATTTTGAAAGTTTAGAGTTATAGTGTCCAGAGTACTGTTTTTTCACAGATGGCCCAGAGGTATTGCTTAAACTAATTTTAAGGCACCAGCAGACAAATGCATGTACATGTCATATCATAGTGCCTTTGTTTTCCCTACTAGTGCCAGTCCTTTTGATCTCAGTGTGGGGTGGGGGTTTTTTAGTTTTTTTTCTTTCTTTTTTTTTTTAATGTTTTTAGCAATGAGCTGAATTTGGGGCCTAGTGGATCATTTCAGCTAGTAAGAGAAATTAATGTTGCAGTCTTGTGTATCTTGCATACATCCTTTATCATAAAAAGAATAGGAAGTCCTGATTCACTGAGCATAGCAGGAATCAAATAGAAGGAAGCAGTTTTCCTGTTTGAGATTTAAGCAAGAAGCTTTAAATTGACCTAGAGAGCTTCGCTAAACTGTATGTGTAATCAGATCTCTGCTTTTTGCAGCAGAAATTAAGAGGACAGTAAGAAATTAATATGAAATTAATAAGAAAGAGTATTGTAGGACAGTACTATTTGAGAACAAAATATTTTGTATATAATGCTATGTAATATTAATGAATTTAATTTAAAACACCATTATGAGAAGGAATACTACCATTAAATCATAATATATGAATTTAAGGTGTTCATAGTGAACTTCTTCATGGAAGAAAGTTTTGACAAAATTCTAATGCTTTGTTTTGCTTAGAGGTAAGCTATGTTGTTCTCATTAATGTATTTCTGTATTTTCTCATGTATGCGTTCCTGATGTCTGATAGGACCTAATTAGACTGATATATCCAACTGGAATATATCCTAGCATGTCTGGAAACTTTTCACTTTCAGCCTTTGGTGAGATTGTTTGTATTGGAGCTTGAAATAAACAGATGCTAATGAGCTATATGACTTACAGTACTTCTGTTTTCAAGGCTTCTCACATGTCACAGGCCAGGGCTTAGAAATGTAGCATTTGCTCTTATCCTAGCTTCCCTTATAGGGAGCAGTACTGAGTATCTCAGTGGTGATTTGGCTTTGGCTAGAAGATAGGCTGTTTGTTTTTTTTGTTGCTGTTGTTTTTTATTCCCCCACACACACGCTTAACTAGACCATAATTTAGCAAGCTATTCTTTGTTTCTCCTTCATAAGTCTTTCTCCTAATCTCTTTGCTTTGCCCTTTACTTATGCCATCCTTCTGCTTGCCCTTCAGTTGTTTTCAGTACTACCTAGTCGTCTTCTGCTGTATCTTAGTAATCCATGAGGAACAGCTGAGAGAGCTGGGGTTCAGTGTGAAGAAGAGAATGCTCTGGGGAGGCCTCAGAGGAGCTTCCAGTACCAGTCTTCTTTGCCCCTCTGCTCTGGTGAGACCCCACCTGGAGTACTGCACCCAGCTCTGGAGTCCTCAGTACAGGAAAGATACGGACCTGTTAGAGCAGGTCCAGAGGAGGGCCACAAAAATGATCAGAGGGCTAGAGCACCTCTCCTATGAAGAAATGCTGAGAGAGTTAGGCTTCTTCAGCCTGGAGAAGATGCCAGGGAGACGCTGTTGCAGCCTTTCAGTTCTTAAAAGGGGCCTAAAATAAAGATGGGGAGAGAGTATTTAGCAGGGCCTGTTGTGACAGGATGAAGGGTGATGGTTTTAAACTAAAAGAGGGGATATTCAGGCTGGACATGGGGAAGACTTTTACAGTGAAGGGTGGTAAAACACTGACAAAGGTTACCCAGAGGGGTGGTTGATGTGCCATCCCTGAAGACATTCAAAGCCAAGCTGAATGTGGTTCTGGGCAACCTGATATAGTTCAAGATGTCTCTGCTTATTGCTGGAGGTTGGACTAGGTGACCTTTGAAGAACACTTCCAACCCAAACTATTCTATGATTTTATGTTTTACCTACTGTTGTGCATAGGGAGTTCTTTAAATATCTGAGAAAAATTATTATGTTGGATCATCTAGGAAAATACCTGAGGCAGTTATTTTGTACCACTTCTAATTTCAGTGGTAGATTAGGTGCTTGGTGTAGATCTGGCACACAACAGCCTGTGCAAATTCAGTTTCTAAGTGTGAAACTCCTTGGTTTTAGACACAACTTTCTCCTTTTTTTCTTTTTTTTTTTTTTTAAGGTTGATATTAAGGAGAGTGAAATTTAATGAACAGAAAAATGATAGACGTCTGTAATTGGAAATCTCAAGAGTTGTAATATTGCAAATCTTAAAATTACTTGTAGTGGGTATTAAAGAAGAAATTAATTTGACCTTTTACTGTAAAGTCATTTTCTGTAGCTTTAGTTAATAGCTAACTGAATAATCTGTCATTTTACAGGTGAATTATGGGAAAGTCTGCAATGAAAGCAGAAAGGGACTCAAATTCACCGTCTCTTGTGGCTGTGATCCAGAGTTTGCCTTTGTACCATATGGTAGTACCATTGCTGTTTACACAGTTTTCACAGGAGAACTGATAACTATGCTTAGAGGGCATTACACTGCTGTCAACTGCTGTGTATTTCAGCCTAATTTTCAGGTAAGTAAAGTACAAGCTATTTCAGACAACCTGAAGCATTTATGCAGATTGCCAAACAGTAATATGCTCTAATCAAAGATCTTGACATAAGAGGGAGTTCTGTGGCCTGTGTGTCAAGCAAGAAAAATTGCCTTAGTTATTGGGAGGACCCTTTCCATCTTGGATTCCTTCCAGTATGCATTTTGTCTCATACATAAATTTTCAATAAACCTATATGATTTGTTTTGGCTTATACTGTCATTAATAAATGGTATGCATTAAAGCTTTTGCCTGTTTTCTGTAAGACTGAAGAGGAGGCATTTGCCTTTCTCTGAGATACCCAACACTAATCATAGTTAGAAAGAGAAGTACATGTAGCTGAAGTGTACTAACATTGCTGTCAGTCCTGAGGACCTCTCAAGTACTTTGCAGAGGATCTTGCTCAAATGCCTTTAGTTATACTAGTCAGTAAATCTATGAGCAGTTTGGATGAAGCGTTGGGAACATGGTGAGCTTCTTAAATTAAGCTGAGAACATTTCATCTAAGAAATATCGTAGTATTGCAAAGACTTAGGTTGGTGCCAGCCTTTTTTTTTTCCTTTCCCAGGCCTTTATTTATTTATTTATTTATTTCCCTCTCTCCCCTGTGGTGAACCTTTCTCTTGTAATAAAAGACTTAGGGATAACTGTCTAATTTATTATGAGATACATTGCAACAGATTGTTCTTACGGATTGTGGTATGGCAAGAGCAGGGCAGATGTTAGTATGGCTTTTAAGGCTCTTAAATAATTGCCCTCAGGTGTTGAGGATTGCACTTAAGTTCCAGCTTCTCCTTTCTCATCTGTTTCTGAAATATTAAGCAGAAAGGGCATATGGATATGTTTTCATGACCTCTCATACAGTGTATCACAGAAGTGAATCTGGTAGCCCTTGCTTTGAGTCCAGGAACTTTAACTGAAATAACGTTTCCCTGTCACTGATATGGACTTCACTGAAAGTTCCACACATCTTACGGCTGGACCAATAGAACCCAAGTTAATAAGCCTTGCTAGCCCTGGAAGGCAGCCTGGCATGAATAGGCAGTGAGATATGAGATCCACTGAAAGGTGGAATAGTCACATTATAGCTAAGGCATATCTCTTCTGCACTGTTCTTGACTAGTTTAAAAAGCCCTTTGTATTTTTAAGAACAGTTTCCCAACAAAATTGCTAGTGTGTTTATATTAAGTCATCTTTGGTGTTCTTTTTGATAAGCTGAAGAGGTGAGGCTCATTAAATCTCACTACAAGTCATGTTTTCTGGCCCTGGAAATGCAAATGTCTTTAGTGTCTCTATCTTGACTTTTAAGACTTTTAGTAAAGATCACTCGTGTGCATGCTCACGCAAGAACTGCGTCAGCCGCTAGGACTATAGGTTTATGTTGACAAACACTTGATTCACATACCTGTTGTGGTTCCTGATTCTCTTTCAGAGTCATGCTTTTTCAGAGTTCAGTTCTATGTTCTAGAAGCACAAGTGGATTTTCTTTCATTTTTTTTCTTTACTCTGCTTTTAGTTGTATTAAACTGCATTAAGTTGTATTAAACTCTGGCGGAATAACATTGCTACAGCCAGTGTGCCAACACCATAGGTAGTAGTAGTGTTATTTTGACTGTGTTCAACACCTGTACTTCTAGTTAGCTCATTCTGTCTTGAGACAATTAAGTACATCCATCAGTCTTCATTTACTTACAATAGAAACTCTGATTTCCCAGTTAATATTCCTTTTCTGAGAATGCAGCAATTTGTAAAATGTATAGTAACCTGTTTTATTTTACTCTTGCAAGCAACATTAAGTCAATATGTTTGAAAGTTATTCGCAGCTGTGCGTTTCTATTTTCAGGTACTAGTTGTAGATAAAATCAGTCTTACTTAAGAAAACCTGCTTTGTAGCAAACCATGTTGAATGATCTTGTTTGAACTATCTTAACTCTGCAGTAACTGCATTGTTTGATCACCTGTTCCATTGTCTTCTTTAGAATGAAAGAAATATTAGTTAGTTAATTCACTTGTATCTGTATCATTCCACTTTATTTTTTGCCCAAGTGGCATATTGGTTTACTTCTAACTTCATAGTGCTTCAAAACATATTAAAACATAATTATCTTGTCTAAGAAGACTTCTGCTTGGTCTACTCTTTTAAGCTTCTCTAAGTTATGCATCTAGTGGTGGAATATGTAGTAGGTGGTTTCTAGCACTTATTAGCACATTTGAAATTAGAACACTATCTTCATAGGAAACAAGGCCTACAAGTTTTCTTTATAGTTTCTACCATTTCCATCTAGTATTGAGTCTCTTGTTAAGAGTTTTCTTGTATTGATAGTCTTCTAAACATTTTCTGCTGTCTTTAACCTTGCTGAGTGATTTTTGTCCTACCCACCCTCACATTTGGTCCTTAGACATTCTTACTACTTTTTTGTTTGCTCAGAACTTCTGATTGCTGCTAGTCCTTTATGTTCTTTCTGTTCATTAATTGTGTTTTAATTACTACCTTAGTTTTAACTCATACCTGGAGTAGGCTCTAAAAGGAACTTCATCTTTCCACCAATTACATACTTGAGGTGAGAAGCTTCTTCTGTTTGCTCAAAACCATATAATCAAATATGATCACTGATACATAAGCAACTACCTATTTGCAGTGCAATGATATTAGTTTTTTAGGTCCAAATTAATTAGCAGGTTTGTGTCTGAGGTATTGTGTGGTGCTATCTCCACAGAATGGTGTGAGGTTTAGTTAATGTCTCTTTTGAGAAGGTTGGAATAGAGCCATAAAATCCAATATGTTATTGTTGGCCTAAATTGTTCTTACGTAAATATCTCTGTAAAGTTAATAAGATGTTAGTCTGCTTGAGTAATAAGAACTGCAGAATTTGACCCTTTAATAAGAGCCATTAACTTAATAGGAGGTCGGTAATTTCAAGGGTGGTGTGGAAGAGGTAATCTTCATTGTGCAATCTCTTACATGATGTTTACTGTTGGATGTAATATACTAGGTACCATTGTGCCATATTAGCTGCTTAAAATAATTTAAATAAACAGACAAGGAATGGCGTAAATCACCATGTGTGAATAACATGTCATAAGATTAGGCATGCATCAGGAAACAATTTTGTTTTAAATTTATAGATACTTCTATTGTTCAAGACATACCAATGACATTTACAAAGGTGTTTGGCAAATCCAGTGGTAGGCTAATAACTAAACATAACTGGTTAAATCAGGTTTCATTTGCAATCTTTCCTTGGAGTCCTAAAGCATAATATTTCCATATATTGTACCATAAACATGTAGTACCATGTATGTGTATATCTTATACTGCATCATGTACATACTGGCACTTCTTTTGGCTAACTTTAGGAATGAGTCACCCTTTCAGGCTGTAATCATTAATTGTAAATATTACTCAATGCAGTGAATATTAACTGATGATCTTGCAATGCCAGGATCAGAAAGTGAGACAAGTGGTAATAAAGACTAAATGGAAGTATGCTGATGTCACTGACATTGCTTACAAGCAGAGAATTTGGTGTGGGAAGAGGTTTTGAAGTTGTAATGATAATCTGTATCCTTTCAAAGACAGGAGGCTTGAGTAGACTACTGACATGATGGAGTGGGATTTGACTTGTGTGTTGGTGTAACTTTGACATGTCTTTAGCAAGATAGGTAGAATATTTTTCTCATAAAATAATAAACACTAATCTTGCATGTGTTTTGTGTAAGAACAACTTAATGCATGGGACCAGTTTAATCAAGGTCAGCTGTCTTGAAGATTACCACATAAATGAGTATTTATAGGAATTAGGCACTAAGTTCCTGCACTGTCAGTGTAATTCATAGAATTGTAGAATGGTTAGGGTTAGAAAGGACTTTAAGACCATCCAGTTCCAACCCTAGTGTGAGGGATGCCTCACACTAGACCACGTTGCTCAAGGCTCTGTTCAACCTTTCCTTGAACAGTGCCAGGGATGGAGCATAAACTCCCCTTTAGGCAACCTGTTCCAGCGCCTCACCACCCTCACAGTAAAGAGCTTTTTCCTTGTATCTCACCTGAACTTCCCTGTTTAAGTTTGAACCCATTACCTCTTGACCTATCACTACAGTCCCTAATAAATAGTCCTTCTCCAGCATACTTGTAGGCCCTTCAGATACTGGAAGGCTGCTATGAGGTCCCACACAGCTTCTCCAGGCTGAACAGCCCCAGCTTTCTCAGCCTGTTTTCATACAGGAGGCGCTCTAGCCCCTGATCATCCTCGTGGCCCTCTCTGGACTTGTTCCAACAGCTCTGTGTCACTTATGTTGATGACACCAGAACTGGAGAATATGGCATGGAGAAAACACAAGGATGGAAAGAGATGCATGAGACAAAAGGGATAAAAATATAAAAGACACAATGACTATCCCAACAGGAATGGAGCCGAAGATCTCGTGGGAACAGCAGCATAATATTTCTTTATATGTTGGTTTCTCCCCTATTACAGAACAATTATAATGCAGATATCACTCAAGATTTCAGATATCAAAGACCTTAGAGTTTTTTATGTAATTCATGCAGTTCTAGAATTAAATGTGCATAATAAAGCAACTTTCTGCAAAGACAGAACTGAAATAATTTATTGACATTACATTGAATCAATGTATTAGTAGTGTGCCCATATGCACAGAGTTGTTAGTTTAAGTGTGAAAGCCAATATGCTTAAAGTAAAGCTTTCTTATTGTCAGCCCAAATACCAAAAAAATACTTTTATGTTTCACTCAGGCAGTTTAAATTCATGGAAATACATGTTATCAGACATCGCATATAACATGCAGGAGTATGATTCAAGATTGAAGGCATATGAGAATATCTTTATCCACATTCATTTAAGTAGTACTTTGGAAAATGAAAGCATTATTAGTGCAAAATTTACTGCAAAGTTGGTGAAGCATTTCTCATTAGCAAAATTTCCTTAGTTTGAAGTGGCAGAGAAGTCTGTGTTTCATTAAATAAAGAATGAAAAAAATTAAGCTGTATTTGACTGTTAGCTGTTTGGTGTAGAGACTGTTTGTTTCCATGTGTTCGCAGGGTGCCTTGCACAGTCAGATCTCAGTCCTTAGTTGCTACCATAGTTAGTTATATTAAAAATAATAAATTGATCTTTCTGATCTCTGCCTTCTCTACAGAGTACAAGGTTCAAAATGTCCTTTATTTGTTCTTTTTCTTCCCTAGGCATACTGAAAAAACTTTTACTTACTGTTTCTTTGTTCCATATGTATGTAATCTTAACATGTGTTACTAGATGCTTTTGAGTTGATTCATATTTTTAATTATAATAAGAAATCTCTTCCCCCCCACTCTTTTTTTTCCTCTTCTCTATTGAACATAAATCATTTCTTAAGCTTCCTAACTTGAAATGTCTTCTCAGGAAATATGAGAGAGCAAAGAATAAAAGTGAATTTAAGCAGTGAAGTTTGCTTAAATGTGGGTAGTACTCTTTGTGAGCAATCTGGGAAAAATTATATTGTGGCATATTATTTAAAATACCATTTATCAAGATTACAGTATAAATTAGAGATTGTATTTTTATCTTTATTTTAAAATAAATCTTTCAGACATCTTTATTCCCAGCATTATATCTATGTCACTGTTCAATAAGTTCATGTAAAAGTAATTTTTGCTTACTTTCTTAAAGGAACTTTATAGTGGTAGCAGAGATCGCAATATCCTTGCATGGATACCAGCTCTTCGTGAGCCAGTTCCTGATGATGTTTCTGAAAAGGTAATGAATTTGTGAGCTTGAACTATATTTTTCACAGGTGTTATACTTGGAGAGGTGGTGTGTAAATTAAATAGGAATTGTGTTTTACCATCAAAATCTGTAATAATTCCTAATTACGAGGAGAGTTGTCTATTATTTCTGCGGAATTTTTAATTGTCATGGAGTTTCAGGAGGGTGTTTTCTTTCAGAGTCTGTAATATCTTTAGCAAACTTCCCACTTTTCAGTTACTTGAAAGTAGTACTTGTAATTTGGTTATCAGTCTGTCAGTGTCTATTTAGCTTCCTTAATATCCACACAGTTTTCCGTAGTTTATGCTATTTAAGAATTGGAGAGCTGCCAAAAACTGTGATTTTAAGTTGTTTAAGAACATGCTGTGCATTAAACAGTAAAATTAGGGGTACTGCATTTCATACACAAACATTTTGATGCAGAAATTTAATAAAGAAGATTCTAAGCAAGCTTATTTTAGTGCCTGAGGCAAGAAATTCAGGTTGTTACTAGGAAGATAATCTGTAACACTGGTTTCCAAAACAGTACTTTATCTCTCTTAGTATTAGAGCTGGACAATAAACATTTCAGTGAGCAGCTGGAAGAGGAAAAGTTACAGATTTTAAGGAACTGAAGCCATTAACGGAACTGGAATCTGGCAAACTGTGCTAATGTCAAAAAAAACAAACTATGTGAATGTTTTGGATCATAGAATACAAAAATTCTACTTTTCAAAATTTCTGAAATGTTCCATCTTGGATGGGTAAATAAGGATAAAATTTTTTAAATGCTTATTTTGCTTTGAAGACAACCTGTTTCAAAACTATCCTATACTTGAGCAAAGAAGAAAAAAAAAATAGCATTCAAAGTTTAGATACCCCAAACCCAAGATGTGTTCAGTTGACCTAAAAAGAATATTTTTGATATAACAGAGAATTTTGCTGAGTGTGAATTGTTTTTTTTTCTTGGTATGCAAACAAAAACCAGAGAGCAGTGAGATTATTTACCTAGCTCTGATTAGAACTGCCCCTTTAAAATTGATATGATGAAGGTATGTAAAATGTGCCATTGTGTTGAAATCTGTTAAGCTACAGCTGCTCTTTGCGAATGTCTAGATGAGCATCGCCTCTGAAGAGAAGCATTTCTGCTGTTCAAGGCCACTAGTTCCTGATCCCTCTCATGTACTGCAACAACCATTTGAGTGCCTATATGACCAGCAATCCAGGATAGAAATAAAAGTTCTACTCCAAGTCACTGTGATTCAGTGCATTACCTAGCTGCACAAACCCTTTAGCTTTACCCTGGGGTCTGAAGTGTGAAATGTTTGTTGATGTGGGTAGAGGTCAGGGCTGCTTCTTGAGACAGTATGCTCAGTTATGCTGGGCCAACAAAATAATGACTTAAAATCAGTGATACAAAACAAACACAGTAATGTCCATCTGCTGTGCTTTGTACCAAACACTTCTAGTCAGTGCTCCAGATACTCTTTTGTAGAAATATGAGTTAAATAGAGTATTATTTCTTTTCATCATTCATTCTGTCTCTAATCAGTAGAATGCTAAATAAGTAGCTAAAAAACATCCAATACTCATAAGAGACACAACAGTTTGTCTTCATATAGTAATTTGAGAAATGCCATAAGCATTGCCTCTATTTGATTTTAGTATTTCTAATTAAGCAAACCCCTAAGTGAATTTTTGTTTTCTTTAGGCTCTGCCTCAACAGCATTTAAATCCAGCATATGAAGACGCATGGAGCAGCAGTGATGATGAAGGCTGAATTTCAATTATGTGCTGATATGCAGTTGACGCTCAGGCACTGCGTTCACAGGCTTCATCTACAGATTTGGTTAATGTCTTATAAATTACAACTGGATTTTTGGTACAGTTCTGTTAGGGCAAGTTATTTTGGAAATGAGTTTTCACTGTTCTGTGTTTTTCCTTCACTGTTAAATTTAAAGGATTGCTTTTTCATACTTACTGACTTTTATACATTGGTTTTCTTTATTCAGTTTTGAATATCTGATGAAAGAAAAGTCCCTTGGCAACAGTAAATATTTCACTGCTTCTGGAGTCACTAATATATAAGGAGGTAATACCTTCATTCCCAAGAGGCATGATACAGAGGATTTTGCCTGAAATAAGACTAGTTCAGGGATACTTCCATCTTATTTTTATCAGTGTCTAGATGAAACAGACCGGCATTCATTTTCAGTGGATGTTGGCTGTGGGAGCCAACGGGATTTTGTCTGTTCTTTTGCATTTTCAGGTTAGCCTAAGTTTCTGCACAAATGCAGTATTCAGTTCAGAAAGAGGTATAGCTGAGATCATCTATTCAAGTATTTATATGGTGATCCCATCAGCTAGTATTTGAATCTGTCCCAGAAAGTTAAGAATAGAAAGTAGTTTAGAGTTTTTGTTGCTTCTGTTAGCAGGTTCTAAGGTCAGACTCCATGTATGAATCTCTCACACTTCCCTAGCCAGTATGAAAACTTCGTGCACAAACACAGGCTTGAGGTACAATACAAGGCAGAGAGTGAATCACACTTCAAGATAGGAATATCAAATGTAGCCCTCCAAACTTCTGAATTTGTGAATTTGCTCTGTTTTGAAAGGAGAAGCTTTGTGAGGTTATTGTCTCATCTCAGTTGCTAGTCTGTGCTTCAGACATAGTGCAGTCACGAAGCAGAGAGCCGCATTAGAGGTTCCCAGCAGCTGTAGATGCAGCTGTATAGGTAAGAACTTCCTTCCAAAGCAGAGCAGATACTAGGACCACAACTTCGTACACAAGGAAAAAGTATTGTAAAAATAAATGAAAGATAGTAATTTAATCTTTGTGTAGTGTATATTATTTCTGATTAGTACACATTTTATTCACTGTGCTTCTATATTTCAATATGAATACAAGGTATGTCAATCTACAGCGTAGCACTGTAAAAATGATACCAAGTAAGGAGCGGGCGTATCAAGAGATGCTGTAATTAAACAAAGCTTCGTATGTAGTGCATTTTTGCTAGGAAACACCCACTATTAAGTGGATAGGTGCAGGGTGGAAGACTTCCAGAAGTTTTGGCTGGAGTTAAGAACCAGCGTGACGCTGTCACTTTACAGGAATAGAGAAAAGAATTTTCTATTTGTTTTTTCTCCAAATTAGTTTTCATTAGCAATGGTGGCTGTTCCTTCTAAAACTGGCGAATAAATTTTGAGAAAATACAGCACATTGACTTTTGTCTGGATGACCCTTTTGCATGTTTTAATTGTGCATATGATTTGTATATGCAAACTGGAAAGCATGTATTTGGTATTTGAATTTCTAAAAATGTGCTTAATAAATTATAGAGCTAGTTATCAAAGAATTTATTTTGTCAGTTTTCAGTTATCTGTAATGTCACTATAAGTGGTGTTGATCTTAAACAAATCCCACTACATAACCAGATCTGTGCTGGGCAAGGGACGGTATATAAAATGGGAGGGGTAGAAAAATTACATTTATTAAAAAAAGGTGATACAAAAATTAAACCCGCAAATAAGAATTGCCTGGGTTTGGGTTGTTGTGGGTTGGTTTTGGGTTGTTTTTTTCTTTGAATGACATTTTCTCAAATTAATTTCTTTTCCTGTGCTTTAAGTACCACAGTTATGGAGATTACAAGGGACTACTGGAACTAATCTAGTCCAACCTCCCTGCTTAAAACAGTCATATATACAGGTTGCTCAGGTTTGTGTCCAGTCAGGCTGTGAGTATCTCTACAACCTACAAACCTGTTCTGGTATTTGAGCATTATTAGACTAAAAGTTTCCTCTGAGATTTAAACGGAGCTTTCCATATTTTGGATTGCAGTGATTGTGTCTTCCCCATTCTTGGATACCACGGAGAAGAGTCTGACTTCCATACTGTCCTTTTCCCTGGCTCCATCAGGTATTTCTTCACATTCGTAAGATCCCCCTCTGCCTTTTCTTATCCAGGCAGAACAGTCCCAGCTCTTTCACCCTCGCCTGGTAGGAAGAATCAGCTCCCTCAACCTGCTAACATCACTCTTCCTAATGCAGCTCAGGTTGCTGTTGGCTGCCTTTGCTGCAAGGGCACATTTCTGCCCCTTTAGTAGCAACTAGGAGTGCTGCGTCATTTTCTACAGAGCTGTCTTCCAGCAGGTTGGTCCCTGGTCTCTTCTGGTCCATGGCCTTTTTCCTCCCTGGATGCAGGATTTGACATCTGCACGTATTGAATGTCATGAGGTTCCTGTCTGCATATTTGTCCAGTCTGCTGCTATCTCTGAATGATAGCAGCACAACCATCCGGTGTAACAAGCACTCCACCCAGTCTCGTATCACCTTGTATCATATCATGTATCAAAATTGTTGAAGACACATCCGGTTTTATCATCAAGGTCATTAATGAAGATATTAAACATGACTGGATTCAGTATTGCCCCTTGGGATACACCACTAGTGACTGGATTTTGTGTCACTGGTTGCAAAGCCTCGAGGCCTGACCCTTCACCATTTTTCAGTCTTACTGTCCACTTACCTATTCTTTACTTTGTCAGATTATCTGTAAGGGTGTGATGTGAGACTGTCAGGAACCTTTCTAAAACAGAGGTAGATATCATCCACTGTTCTTTACTCATGCACCAAGCTGGATACTGTATTGTAGAAGGCTGTCAGATTGGTAAATCATGATGTTCACTTCATAAATTTAGGCTGACTGCTACAGTCTTTGTCCTTTATGCATCTGGTAGTGGTTTCCAGGATTATTTGCTCCATCACCTTCTCAGGGATGGAAGTGAGGTTCACTGACCTGTGTTTTATGGATCTTACTTCTTAAAGACAGAGGCAAGTTTCACTAGCAAGATCTCCGGTCACACTGCCCAAGTCGCAGAATGGGCTGGAGCACCTCTGCCATGAAGACAGGCTGAGAAAGATGGGCTGGTTCAGCCTGGAGAAGAGAAGGCTCTGGGGCCACCTTAGAGCAGCTTCCAGTGACTAAAGGTGGCCTACAGGAAATCTAGAGATAGGGCTTTTTATAAGAGCAACTAGTGACAGAGCAGGGGATGATGGCTTTAAGCTGAAAGAGGGTAGATTTAAATTAGATGAGGCAATTGTTTTCTATGACGCTGATGAGGCCCTGGCACAAGTTGCCCAGAGAAGCTGTGGCTGCCCCAATATCTGGTAGTGTTCAAGGCCAAGTTGGACAGGGCTTGGAGCAACCTGGTCTAGTGGAAGATGTTCCTGCCTGTGACAAGGGGTTGGAACAATGTGATCTTTATGGTTCCTTCCAACCCAAAGCATACTATTATTTTTGATTCTATGACCCTGGCTTTCTTTCAGTCCTTGGAAACCTCCCCTGTGTACTGTGACTTTTCCAAGATAACTGAAAATGGTCTTGCAATGACATCATGACCAGCTCTTGCAAGTGTTTTTCCATCAAGGGTGCGCTTTCCTTGCTCCAGACTTAATAGTGGTCTTGGGAACCTGGGGTTGCTGAAGTTCAGTCTTACCATTAAAGACTGTTGTGAAGAAGCATTGAGTACCTCAGCCTTTTCTGTGCCCTTTGTGTCCAATTTCACTGCCCCATTTAGCAGCAAGATCATGTTTTTCCTGGAGTCTTTCTTGCTGCTTTTATACCTATAGGTATACTGTAGGTTTTAGTTTTGCTTTTCATATTTCTCACCATATATAACCCCAGGTGGGTTTTGGCTTTTCTAACCCTATCTCTGTGTGCTAAAATAGTTTGTCTATATTCTTCTATGTTTCCACCTCTTGTATGCTTCCTTTCTGTATTTGACTTTTCTCAGGAGCTCCTTTTTCATGTATGGGTACATCCTTCCATCTTTGCTTTGTTTCTTTTATGTGGGGATGGAACATCCTTGAAAATCAACCAGCTTCGTGAACCCTTCTTCTCATCAGGGCTGTATCCCATGGAATTCTTCCAAAAATCCCCTGAATTTATCTGGAAATGTGGAAACTTTCTTTTACACTTTTATGTGGCTCATTTTCATACTGTTGCTGAATAACTTTTTGTGTATCAGTTTTGTGTAAGTTGCATCATGAATGTGACATGTCATTCAGCTAAGGGGAGGTGGGCTGGGTATTATTTTCCCTAGTATCTATTCATCCAGGCATCCCTTTTCATTTAATGTCTAAAGCTGTCCCAAACAGTTCAAAATAGAAATTAGTTGCCTTGGGGGCTTATTACTCCTACTAACAGCTAGTGTTTTCTACACAGAAATCTTTCCAAATTCTGTTCTGGTATAATGATGTCATTACTCTCCCTCTTCACTGTTGTCTTTTTGGGGAAATGAAAAACATCTGTCACATCCAGGCAAGAATCCAGACACATTTTTCTTCAATCCAGCACCTGCAAGTCCTCCATGTTATGGCAGTAGCCAATAGGTGGGTCTTAGTTTGCAAGATTTGAAACTTCTTGGTACTAGCCAACATCTCAAATGCAAATTTCTGTGAAAATTCTACTTTGAATGATGATGTATTTGTCATGTTTTCCTTCAGTACTTTGTTTTCTGTAAATACATAATTTTTTTCCAGAAAAAAATACTGTATTTTATTTCTGCTGCATTCTTATAATGGCTTTACTCAATTACTAAGTAAAGTGTTGGTACTTCAAAATGAAAAATTTTGAAGGGTGGTGAAAGTATGCTGTGTATTACTTTTCACTGGAAAGAACCAAGCCACTGGTGTCAGCTGCAACTGTGCATGTCTTGCTTATGTGTAAGTTAAATATGATAATTAAATCCGAGTCTTCCTCTTCATTCCTGCCTATTCTGCTTCTGTGCTTCCAGAATGTTTTTTTATACTATCAGAGCTCTTTCAGAGCCAGAAACACAGCAAGTGGTGTACTATAGACTTAATTGCACTTCCCATCCTTATGTCAGTAAGGGAAGAAAAAAAACACATTTGAAAATCCAGTCAGGTGTTAAAAGGGGTGTTGTATTCATGCTGAAGTAAAGCTGCTCATTTGAGAGGCAGCTAGC